TCTTGATTATATTCCGGCTTTGTTAGAGAAGAGATAATATAAGCTATACCACCAATCAAGCCGATAACAAAGAACCCAGCAAAAATTTTAAAAAATGGTTTAAATCTTGATTGACGTATGGGCATTTGTGATTCTATGTTTGATACATCAGGTTTAATAAATTCACCAGTAGATTCGTTAGATTGATTATTATATTCATCAGTTTTATTCTCAGATTCATCAGATTTATTTTCAGATTCATCAGATTTATTTTCAGATTCGTCAGATTTATTCTCTGATTCTTCAGATTTATTATCAGGTTCGTCAGCATCTGAGATTTTACGGAAGCGATAATAGTAGATTTGCAATAATAAAGTGGTATCAATCAAAGTATTATAAAGAGCGATGAGAATCTATAATTAAAATTTCACATTACTATTAGGTACTAATATAATATAGGAAGTGTATTGAATCAAATAGAAAAATTATTTTGTTGCGTTTTTTTATATTTATCACTTTGCATGTAAGAAATTGAGTATGCACCGCTCTGGACAACAAATTAGGCACAATTAAGCATTAATTAGATTTACGACTTACCACCGTTAGTAACAAGTTTTGTAAAATAGAACCGACTACATCAAGTAAATCGCCCATGATCCATATATATATGAAGGCTAATGATACTGAACTGCCGGATTTCCGTTTATAGTTTTTATAAAGTTGGCTGTAAGAAGTTAAATTATTATGATATCTTATACGGCATTGATGAGAAAATGATAAAAGATCACTTACGGTGTTGAAAGTACGATCCAACAAGCTAAAGAAATGAAACCAGCTACTCTCGAATAAACTATATTTTCTGGGTTAACCATTTTTTTTAATTAATCTTAAAACTTATATCACTGTGAAATAAGATAATATTTCTATTGATTTAAAGAAAATAATTCAAAATTTTTATTAAATTTCTTCGATCAGTTATTATTTTATACATTATCAACAACTAGTGTGTTCATATGAATTCCTCATTAAAAAATTACAATTACTGGTTATCGCTAATATTCTGTAACATTATGGCATGCATTTGTTTGCTAAAAATTTAGACATTCAATATCAAATTAATAGGAATATGAAAACGATTAATTCCTAATAAACCATTAAATTTACAG